AAGCACATTGATTTCCCGATACTAGGTAATGCAAAATTGAATGCCCCACTTTTCTTAGAACATCGCCCTGGGGGAAAAAATGCATTTTCGAATGTGAAAATGGTAGTTTTACTGATTATTTTTTCGATTACTATACATTACATTTTCCCAGTACATACCGTCGCACATATGGGTATTTGAACGATTTAGGCGGCCCAAAACAAATTTGACAAAACTTTTAAAAGAAACAAAATTACAAAATTAGTCAAATTCAATAAAGAATATTCCAAATAACATTTCCCAGTCCCCCTCACTTTTTTAACTTGCACAGCGACCGCTCACCGTTGACCGGAAACAGAATATTCTAACGCTGCATATAAATAAATTTTCGCTCTCTACAAAGATCGATGGTTTTAAGTTAATATTTTAATTTCTGCATTGTATTCTTAAAAAGTAGCGATGGATCCGCATACAGGAGGTAATAATGCATTTAAGTGTTAATTTTTTTTAATCATTTTATTAAGAAAAAGTTCAATTTAAATGTAACGAAAATAGCGGCTTTCGACAGTATTTCTTTTTTAATTATTATTGAATATTAAAGAATTTGTTGTATACCTGGGAGAAATTGCGTTATTATTCTTTGTTCAATTGAAAGCCTGGAAATTGTGGCTAATGTAGTGTGAAAAGATTGCCCGCAGAAAATGGCAGATAGGTGGTATTTATTTACTTAGAAAATGTATTAAAGAAAAATCTAAAAACGCAACTAGATNAAATGTAACGAAAATAGCGGCTTTCGACAGTATTTCTTTTTTAATTATTATTGAATATTAAAGAATTTGTTGTATACCTGGGAGAAATTGCGTTATTATTCTTTGTTCAATTGAAAGCCTGGAAATTGTGGCTAATGTAGTGTGAAAAGATTGCCCGCAGAAAATGGCAGATAGGTGGTATTTATTTACTTAGAAAATGTATTAAAGAAAAATCTAAAAACGCAACTAGATTATAGTAACACTACTTTAGATCTATTTTAACACTAAAATTCAACTTTTTACATGAATCCAAAAAAATAATAGTTTTCGAGATATGAGCAAAAGTCACGTTTTCTCTCTTTCTTTCGGTCCTGTCGCTGGAAACCTGCGGGAATGTAAGGCGAACCCAATTATGTTATGTATTTCGAAATAAGCATTTGTTTTCCTTTGCATTGGTGTTATATAAGTGATGATTAAAGAAATAGTTTTGGGTATACAAGCTTTTAAATTTAGATAAATCTACGATATTGCAGTAAATATTGTACCCAATTGTTGAAAATTGGTATGCGAAGTAAAATTTTAGAACAAATTAGGATTATTATGAAATTTTTAAAAAATGGGATTGGCCCCGCCCACTTATGATGAAATGCTGCATCTCAGTATCCGCTTCACCAATCCGTACCAAACTCGGTATGGGCCTTGTTTAGGCAATATTTGCTAGAAATCCTTGAAATCGGGCGATAACCACGCCGACTTTCCATATAACGGTAATTTACACGCTGTTTGCTGTCAGTACGGTACTGATAAAAGAAATCTCCATAACATTCAAATACTTCCAAAGATTTGCTGTACGAAAACCATGCATTTATGGTTGGAATACCGGAACCTTTTCCAATAACTCCGATTTTTTATATTTGTATTTGATATATTTAATATACATAACTCCACAAGTTCCGACATTCTACCAAGAAACTTCAAGCGATATGAAGTATGAGAAACTAAATTTGTACTGGAGGTGCTACGTCCTCTTTTCTAATAACCCTAATCTTCTTGATTGAGTGTGCAATTGGTTTTATATACCCCAATGCAGCATAAGAAAACAAATTTCATGGTAGTTGACATGCCTCCTATTCTTATATCTTCAAACTAATTCCAGTACTCTACCACAAATACCTCTTGAGATGTTCAGTATTCAAAATTCAATTTGTATGGGAAGTGCCACGCCCCATTTTCTAATAACTTTCATTTTTCTCCATGATGGGATTGATTTCACATACATATCTTCATACCAAGCTGAAGTTTTCTAGCAAAAATATTTGAAGGAATATGCAATATCATAATATCAGGTAGTATGGGAGATGCGACGAAAATTTTACAAAAACCCGCGTTTTACTCAGTGAGTATGGAATTGATTTCACATATTAATATACATATATCCAGCGCTCTTCTACAAATTCTCCCACAGAAATTTATGCAGCGTGAAAATTCTAATTTGATTTCCCTTGTTTTATTAAAAGTATTGTGAGTCCTTGGCCATTCTTGGGTAGTCTACAGTATACAGTGTATTTAACGTTCTCTGAAAACGCCTTCCAGTAAAAACCAGTTAAATTAGTACTAGATACTGCGTACGCGAACAGGGCTTATATCAAAAGGCAGTTGGCAATACTAATTTTGACATTTGGTGGTTGTCAATGAATTTTCAAAGGCCAAAGCAGCAGAGCAGTAGCAGAGGAAAAATCTAATATTTTAGTCGCGTAGAAATAAATTAATTAATTAATTGGCATGATTCAAACACATCACAAGCAAATTTAAATAACATAGAACCTAAATATCAGCAACCACATTATTTAATTACAAAAAATAATCAATATTGGAAAGTAGAAGTCGAACTTTAGCAATGAGAAGCAAAACAACACCCACAACGCCTCAGACGTCGCAGCAGTAATCGATGGCTTGCGATCTGACGCAAAAGTCGTAAGTTTTCAATGACGTTTTTAAACAAAACAAACAGTATAAAAAGTGCTAAAAATAGCAGCGAATAAAACAACAAAAATTGGTAGAAAACGCTATACTCGTAGATAGAATTGGGAACAATTAGTGTTAGAAAAGATGAACAGTGATCCGACGATGACTTCAACGTCTACGTCGACAACGCTATCGTCGTTAAATAGTATCCCTACTATATCGGCAGCAGTGTCTAGTACAGGACTAATTGGAAGTGGTGCCGCCGAAGGTGATGTAAGAGATGGAGAGAAGCCCGTCAATACAATTGAAGTTGTTCAACGGAAATTTAAGGACAATGAAAAAGTTTTATCGGTAATTTGATAATTAGTTAAGTTATTCCCGTAAATATTGTAATTATTGATTTTTTCAGATTTTCGAAGCCTATCAAATTATTGGCCAGGAACATCGCAGTCGATTGTTGGCGTTAGTGGTTTCAGTGGCGGGTGGAACGTATGCAGTTTTTTCATTGGCAACTGCACGATTACCCCCACGCAATGTCAACGACTTATCTATTGATAAGGTTTTCGCATTAAACGAGAGCTTTCAATTCGGAAGCGGTAATTTTTAGTCGATATATTGTTCCCCCTTATTAATTATTAAACTAATACATACTCATTAATTATTAATTTTCAGATAAAAAAGGTTCAATATCACAATTGCAATTTGATATCAGCACGGCAGATGAATCGGCCGTGAAATATTTCTATTACCCGATCATATCAACAGACGGCGCTTCAGATTTCGAAACGTTCCATGCACAAGTCGTATCAGCGAAATTTTCTATGACACACTCGACGATGACCACGGATTCGGTATTAAGTTATAGTTGGCTCAATGATTATCGACAGATTGGCGAAGTGAAACAAGAGCTGAAACGACGCGAGAACGAGTACATTGTCTTTAAAGACTATATGTAGGTGTTCATGTTTACGTATAGTAGAAATCAAATGTAATGCGTTATATTTATATATATTTTTTTTTTTTTCAGAGTTTACTGCGCCACTTGGAATGTTAATAATAAACCGTATAGCGAATGTCCATTACAATTGTGGCTATCAAATGGTGATGTATCGGCGGACATATATGCAATTGGTCTGCAGGAACTAGATACGTCAGCAAAAGCCACAGCATTCGGTGAAAATCGTCCTGACCCACTATGGATGTAAGGAAAACAAATGTTTTTATTTTTTTAGAACTTTATTATACTGCTTTCCAGAAATAAAATGCTCTCAAGTCTACACAAGGATGGCGAATATGAAGAGTTAACTAGTGTGCGCCTAGTGGGTATGATGCTAACTATTATCATACGTAAGCAATTGCGGCCATATATTGCTCGTTGTCGTGTTAAAACTGTTGCTCGCGGAGTTTTCAATACGCTTGGCAATAAAGGCGGTGTTGCGGTCAGCATTCAGCTGAACGAAGGCAATATCTGCTTTGTGAACTCCCATTTAGCTGCACATATGGGTTTTGTTGAGGCACGCAATGAAGACTATGCGGGTATTGTACGTGGTTTAGTTTTCGACGACGAATTAAAACGCACCATAAATGATCATGAGTGAGTGAAAGGATTGTTGTATATTCGATACTATTTATATGGCGTATAAATTAATTCATAATTTTCAGTCATATATTTTGGGTTGGAGACTTAAACTACCGTATTGAGGAACCACCTGGTTTGCAACTGCCATGCAATCGTGCTTCCCAAACGCTTACGATGTACTTATGAAATATGATCAATTACGTGTTGAGATGGGTAAAGGTAACTGTTTCGATGGCTACTCTGAAGGGCCAATCAAATTTCGACCCTCTTATAAATATGATATAGGTACAGATAATTTTGATAGCAGGTAGACTACTTTATTACATAGGGTTATCTAATTTCTAAGTCATATTTATCTCCCTATTACAATAGTGAGAAACAAAGGGCACCGGCTTTCTGTGATCGCGTGCTCTGGAAAGGGGTACGAATTGAGCAATTAGCTTACAACAGCATAATGGAAATACGTAAGAGTGATCACAAGCCCGTTTATGCCATATTTCGTGTAAAGATTAAAAATAAAGATGAGAAACGTTACAAGCGGGTACACGAAGAGGTATTGAAGTTGGTCGATAAACGTGAAAATGAAAATCAACCACAGATAATGGTCGATAAGACCGTTATTGATTTTGGCGTTGTTCGTTTCAATGAACTAGCAGTGTGTGACTTTACTGTGTCGAATAACTGTCCGATGCCGGTTGAATTTATGTTCAAAGTCAAGGACCCGCCCCTTAATGACATTTGCGAAAAGTGGTTGCAAGTAGAGCCGCGTGCCGAATTGCTCATGACCGATAGCACCAAACGTATACGAGTAAATTACTTGCCGATGTGCGCTCCATTACGGATTGTTGAAAAAAATACGAACTACTAATTGGAAATTCGATTTTGACATTTTGATTTTGCATGTAAAAAATGGGCCAGACATTTTTCTTACGGTAACGGGTGAATACAAGCCGAGTTGTTTTGGACTTTCAGTAGAAACACTTTGCCGCACCGAACGACCGCTAAGCGACTACACGCAAGCTCAGATTAAGGAATTGGTGAGTGGCAATAATTCCGGGCGGGGAAGCTATTTATTTTCTTTACATAATCAAATTCTTTTAATAGATGAACGATGATTCACCAGAATTCCGTGTAACAATGCCACGCGAATTCTTTTTTCTCATCGACTATCTACACAAACAGGGTGACAAAGTGGAGGGTGCTTTTGCGACATTGGAGTACAAGCATGTACGTAGCTCTCAATTTAATGTTATACGTGATTGGCTGGACACTTGGTCAACTGCCGAGTTTCGTAAGTAGCAGATTGAATGTCAGTGTTACGCGCATTTTTATCAACCAAAAATTTTTTCTGAAAACTCGCACAGCTGGTACCCCACAAGCCGCTGCTGAGGCCCTATTAATGCTCTTGGACTTGCCAGAAATGCCATTGCTAGACCCATTTGTTGAAGATCTGCTGCAAACGAATACGACTGCTGAGGCAATGGAGTTAATAGCATTGCTAAGCTCGCCGCGTCGCAATGTATTCGTGCATTTGTGCATGTTTCTACGCCAAGGCATAGAGCGAGAGTACTATAATTTGCAACAAGTTGGTATGTACATACACGCACCTAAAGTTAACACAAAGATATACAATTTTCATATTTCCCACAGCTAGCGTATTCGGACGCGTATTGTTGCGCAGCACTACTCACGGTGGACGAGATATTTATCGTGAGACGCGCTGCCGCGATTTCATGCATCGTTTCGTCAGCAGCGATGTGGGTGGCACGCTGTCAGCAGGTGTTATCGGCGTAATTAGTGGTGTCGACGGAAGCGCTGGTGCTGAAGGCGCTGGCGGGGGCGCCAGTGGGGATGGAAATGCCGTTGATCGCGTTAATGCACTCGATTCCACTTAAATACATACTGTTTGAGCTCCTGTGTCTTTGTGTTTATAATTTGCAATAGTTCAACGTGAGCAATTTTCGCAATGCTATTATTCTCATTTTTTAGCTTACATAACTTAACATTTAAAATAAGCTTGTGATTTGTGTTTGAATATATATGTATGTATGTATACTTGTTTATATGCATGCAAAAAAGCTTCCAGCAACATGATATGTTTGCTGTCTACTTATGTACACATTAGCATAACTCGTGCATCTTTTTTAAGGTTTTACTATATGTTAGCTTCTTACTCCGATAAGAGTGCATTAACGACTTAATATGCATACCTACACTCTTATGTTTCATAAACTACTTAATGTTCTGCATTTTAAACAATTAGGTAAGAGCTGGAGCTGGAGCTGTTAACGAATTTTCACACAAGTAACAAATCTAAAATATAAAATTATTGTAGATCCTTTATGTAATTTCTAAACCACATCTAGTGCAAAGCATTTATGTAAAAGAAATTGTCGAATCACAGCATCCCCTGCGCTTATAAAATCAAAAATCCCTAGAATTAATCGATTTATATTGAACATATTGAGTCCTAACCGTCAGAAAAATATCGCATACTTTTTTCGGCGGTTAGGGCTCGATATAGTGAAGAATACTTTTTACTTTGGTAGTACTCGGCTCGCCATCACATTATTTACATACTTAAAATTATTTGCTTTAGTTGAATATGTACATTCTCTAAAGTGGCGTTGGAAAAGGGATTCATTTTTACTGCATTGAATTGCAGCTTGTTGCATTTGTTTCCATATTTTGCAGTAGAGAAATTGAATCAGTAAAAGCAAAAATATGTAGAGAAATCAAACCATAGCATAGCGAAGCATCTATGAATAAATTTATTTCATAGTATTCAATTTAGTCATAAGTTGATAATAGTTAATTGTCGATGTATTAATACTGTCATAAAGTTGTGCAAGTGAAATTATTAAAAAGTGCAAAGTACCCAATAAACGTCTATTAAAAGATAGAGCCTTGTTTTTTCATTGATGATTTTTATGAAGATGTGAAGGATATTTCTCCTACATTTGGTAAAGGCCCACTCAGGTGGAGGGGCATATAGTATGTAGTACGTTCACACAGGAAACGATGCTGTGCGGAGCTGAGTGATTTCTTGAAAAAGCCATTTAACAGTATTGAAGGGCTGGAACTCTCCGATGTATATTCAGATATCCGCATACAATTTGCGTCCAAGGGGAGAGAGGAGAAGAGAGATATTGACGGTGAAGTTCGTTGCTATGGAGTGATCGGATCGTGAGTAGACAGCCGATTCAAAAAGGCCCTATCTCAGCACATTTGCAATGTATCTTCAGCTGAGATAGGGCGTTCTTTAACCAAATTCTGAGATAGAGTGTTTTTCAATAAAACTCTGAAATAAGACGTTCTTCAATCAAAAAAGGGGCATGCTTCGTGCATTTTCAAATATTTCATCTTATCTGTCAAAGCGATTAGCTTAAGATCCTCCCGGCTAAGTCCAAAGAGTCTTTCGGAGTTTCTCTTAAAAGGAGCTATGAATCTCTTTGATTGTCTCATTCCCTTTGTCTTCCGCCAGCGGGCAGCAATGTGAAGTTCTTCCTAGGTCCTAAACAGTTCTTAAGTGTGTATATTTGCGCGACAATCAGTCCTTTTGTAGCCTTTCAACCCTTCATGTACCGGAACCCACCACAACGTTACGCTATTGTGGGCTCCCAGATTGTTCAGAAGAGTATTACAGCTGTCCAAAAGCCTTGATGCCTTTTAAAAAGAGTCCAGAGCCTTTAAAGCTGCTTGAATATCCGACATAATATTTATTCTGGCCACATTTGGCTTCTGCGAAGACATTCGCGAGCACAAACTTCGATTGCGAGGATTTTCGCCTGTAATATTTTTGGATATATGCCCATTGGCAGACTTTTATGGAGTCGTGGTACGCATATCCAGTACTCCCGTCGTCTAGCTTCGATCCGTCGACATACCACACTTAGGACCCTTTATCAATCATAGTGATTATCGCTCCACAGAAATCCCTTTCAGGAATTCTGACCTGGTAGGGTTTGTAGAAGGTTAATTTCGGTAGCATGATGTCACCAGCTACCCAGCAGGATATCACCCTGATATAGCTGTGCTCCTCAGAGGTGTAAATTGCATGGTAGTGGACTTCAACATTCAAGCCTGTCAACTGAACATAGGGGAATGCTCCTGGATGCCCCGACTAATATTATAGGTGGCTGCAGCAGTTCTCCCGACATACAAATTTTTAGCGCTGGTCTGATAAACAGCGACTTATTAACGCTTAGGTAAGAGCTGGAGCTGGAGCTGTTAACGAATTTTCACACAAGTAA